AACCTATATAAACAGTTCATTTTTCTAAACTTTAAAGATATTAGGTATGGCCGTATGGGTTACCATAATATACATAATACGTAGTAAAATAATTAATATTATAAAAATAAAACACTTGGAAAAAAATATTATGACGCTACAACTCATGTGGGTGTAAATTATGAATCACTCCCATTTTGACACCTATTTTGAAGATGCTTAACATATTTTTAAACTATCTATTATAGAAAAATCGATTAAACATTATTATACAAACAACAAACCATCTTCTAAGTATAGAAATAAATACAAATTCGAATTTTTTAATATATACGTTTTATTGTTGATGGGGGTCAATCCAGCCGACTCGTGTACTGGTACTAAGGTGGTGTTTTTGGTGTTATTGTTTGTCACGTCTTAACTTGTAATACATTTACCATACTTTGTTTAAAATGGGAAAATGCCAATTTTGGTATATTTTGCTGTTTTCATTGCATATTTTAACACATATTTAAGCAATTTTAAGAAGTATAAAATCTCAACCTTAGTGGCGTAGGGGGGGGAGGGTGAATTTCAAATCCCCAGAGAGAATGACGTTCAACTCCTCCCATGGGGTGGTCCGCAGCATGTGGTGGCGAAAAGCCCAAGGGGGGCACCAATCAGCCCCCCCCTCAGAAATAAGATATATCCACCACTGTAGTTAGCTAGTTAGAAATCTATGGTTAGGTTAGATACAATAGTCTAACAATATAACAAATAGACCATCTAGAAGTTTAAAAGCTGACTATCGGTAGGTATAGTAATTCCTAATTAGTAGCTGTTGATAAATACCACTGTGGCACAGTCTATGATACATCTACAAATATAATACAATAACAATGACTGCGAGAACACAATATTTACAATCTCTTAAAACGTTGTTTTTTATTTTCTTCATTATAAATATATGTAGTAAAGATATTGTAGTTTTAAACATTCACACATTAACAAATGTGACATGAAAAATTGGAAGATCAAATTGTTTTGTTGTATGCAAGGTTAAGCAGTGCCGCAGTGGCGTAGCCAGGAATTTTGTATGGGGAGGGCTAAGTATCACAACCCCCCCCCCCCGATATATTACAAAAGCAAATAGCATACTATACATTTTTACATCACAACAAATACTACTTATTACCTAGTTATTATATTAATACTCCGAATAAACTGATATTTCTTAATACATAATTTAACAAATGTGCGTAGGATTTATAGATTATCAGGATAGTGTTCAACAGATCTGCAGCAGTGACCGAAGGCGTATAATATAAAAAAAAATGTTGCTCAAATAATTTTAAGTGACATGCCTATACGGTTATAGGTACCTCAAATAATGTTATAATTTATACTTACCTACCGATAAAATGTCCTATTTTCCTTATATCAATACCCACCCACGACCTACCCGGCTACCCATATTTAAGGTATTACCTGAGGAACACTTGAACCCAGTTATATTATGTCACACGTGACTGGCATGGCAGTGGCATACACATTCAGTGTTATAAGTAAGGATGACTGATGAGAAGTTATGGGAGGAAAAATTGACAACATATGCACAAAAAAAAATATGCCAACAAAATCGAGTACCTATATGCATACATTTTTTTATTAATGTGACTCATACTCACAATACATATTTTTAAATAATTTAATATTTTTAATTATAAAATTAAAATGTTATTAAATATAAAAAATATCATATAAATACCTATATATGTATAATATATTAAACAGCATCAAAATTGCAGCATTTTAACATCTAATCGACGACTTCTTGGTCCAACGTCTGCTGCAATACCCTATAAATCTAAAAAATATTATAAATAATATTATGACAATCACATATTATAATATTTATTTTTCATACCTGTAAATTTGTTGCATTGGTCCACCAGAGCTTTTTAAGATTGTCAACGTGTAATTGACGACAATTGTCCGAGAGAATATTTTTATAACAACTATAAAACTGCGTTATACAGGCGTACTTAAAATAATTCAAGTCCTCGCCGATCAAATCTTTAGTCAATCCCTCCATAGATGTGGTGTCTCCGGACTCATAGGCGCAACTAGAGGCTAAACATTGGGGGTGCTAAAATTATGTAGAGAACACAAACCCGCGGGGGCTACGCCCCCACACCCCAAAATAACATACTTTCATTTTATAATTACTATAACCATTCCTAAATGCACCATGAACACATAAGGACACTAATATTTAAGTAAATCAACAGTAATATACCTGATGAATACATGAGGTATATTATATTATTTAGGTGATAAAAATAGTAACCTGGAAGTGTAAATAGATAAAAAAAAATGTGGTCAAGTGGGTACCGCTTTGCTGTACAATAGTTGTTGAGAATGTCGTTGTAGTGGATGTGTTATATTTGAATTCAATTTGAAAAATTTTCTCATAAATAGCTATAAATAGTTCATAAAAAGTCAAAAGTGTTTAAAGAATTTACGATGTATGGAAAATGCTATTATAAGAGTCTACAGTTATTCATTTTGGAAATACAACAAAATCCAAAAAATCGATTAATGGGAATTCGATTTACCGCTGAATATCGAATATCGTGACAATTATAAGTTCGAACACTCATAAAAAATTCAAGTTTAAGTATACGTTTTTTTTATAGGTAGACAAACTTATGTGAAATCTTTTATTAAAATTTTTAATATTGGGCCTTAACTGTGAAAAGAAAATATTTTATGAATTGCTAACTGAAAAATAATTTAAAATATTTGAAAAATTTCTCAGTTATAAATACCTCAAAAAGAGTCAAAATTGTTTAAACATTTTACCATGTAAGGAAAATTTTAATTTTAACATTTGATAAAAATTTCAAGTATCTAGGATTATTCGTTTTTAAATTACAACAAAATATCAAAAATTAATAGATGAAATTTCGTTAATTTACTGATAAAAATTGAAAATTGAATGTTGTACACATTTTAGATTCAAACGCTCATAAAAAATGTATGTTACTTTCCAGTAAACTTTTTTTTTGTTTAAGATAGTACCAATTGTGAGGAGTCTTCTATCAACATTCATAATGTTAGCTATGAAAGGAAAACTTTTATAAATTTCTAACTGAAAATTTCCAAAAGAAATTGAAGAATTCTAAATTTTAATATTTGATAAACCTATATAATCATTACAAACAATAATTGTTGTTTCTGCTAAAAACGAAGAAATAAAAAAAAAACCTTAAGTAAAGCTAAAAAAACTATTTTTTTCTTATGATTTTTCAATTTTTGCTGTTTTTGAACTGGGGGTGCTAAATTAAAGTTTGGGGGTGCTGAAGCACCCCCAAGCATTCCTCTAGTTGCGCCTATGTCTCCGGTTAAAATATTTGATATTTTATGTAAAATAATAAATCCAACAATTTTTGCAATAAATTAAGTTAATTTTTGGTAATAAACGAATTATACAATACGTATTATAAAAATTAACTAAATATGCATTTTTATGCACGAAATGGATACTATTCTTAAATAATTTACCCAAATATGCAAAAAAAAAAAAACAAAAAAAAATGAACTTGCTAGGTTATGAAACGGATTTATAGCTCACCTAGCTATAAATTGAACACATAGACAAAAATATGCAAGTCCTATAATTTCTCACCCCTAGTTCTATACTTCTATCTAACTTATAACTATATACGCCTATACAATGAGAATATTTAAGTCATTATTTTTTTTTTTAGCGCACTATTGGAGGTATTTCATCAAATATGTAAAATTTGTCTTACACCGTCGTCCAACCAAAATATAATTTAACAGTATAAATAACTAATGTTTAGGTACGTCAATGTACTTACAATAATAATTATTCTAATCAAATTTGGTAGGTAGTTAAATAGTTAATATAACTTTATTATACCGTCTTTTGTTCAATTTAAACAATATTTCTAAAAATAATTCCCACTGCTTAGAGTTCTGCATACCTAACTATTATTATTTTATTTTTATAGTATGAACATTTTTTAAAAAATTAATAAAAATTACATTTTACTTTTCCACGTTTTTAGCTTTCCATATTTTTAGCAATCGACAATTTTAGTTTTCCACTGAATTGGATTTCTAAACAATCCAAAATATTAGTTTTCCGCGTTTTTAGCATTCCGTGTTTTTAGTAATCCACGTTTAAGCGTTATTTTATTTTAGGATTCATCTATAAATATTTTCCACCTAATTATATTCCATAAAATTAGTAATCCAATTTTTCTTTTTCCTTAATATTATTTTCTATGAAATTATTTCAAATTCATTTATATTCAAATGCAATTAAATTTCTTGTAAATTATTTTCAATAAAATATTTTTCGTAAGTTTTGTTTTCATTGAAATTATTTTCCAACATCTTATATGCTCCCTAATTCTCGTCAAATTCTTATAAATTCTTATACAAGTTACAAGTATCTAATGTTATCTAATATTATTCATTGAACATTTTATAGTGAATATAATATTACTACTGAAATAATTAATTTGACTATCTTGAAGTTCTACCAATATTTTTACTTTGGGGTACCTATGAATTTTGGAAATCTGTGTTATTTTGTATACCTAATACTTTTGGTAAAACTGTTTAGTGTTTTCTACACACAATAGTTGACATTTTGTCGACTTGTACTACATGCATTCCCATCATGTTATGATTAATATAAACAAATCGTAATAAAAAATCCGCATTTCACTGACATTCACTTAATAGTTAATACTTTTTTTTATAACATAAAACGTTTTTAGTGCTATTAAGGTTTTTAACATTATTTTTTACTATGGCAAATGTATGGATACATATTACATTAAATATGACATTTTTAGTTAAAATAAAAAATCAACTTAAATATTTAAAGAATTTAAAAAATAATATAATAATTATTATTGTTGTTATCTAAAATTAAACATTAGTAACTAATAATAATTAAAGAAATAGGTAGTGGAAAACACTAGTGATAAATATGAATAGGATTATGATGTTCTAAAAACTATTTGATTTTGCCAATTTAATTTTCCTTCTTCATTAAAAAATGATTTAAAGGCATCTCGAACTTCAAATCCTTCAGTATTTCCATACCCTCCGTGTCTGACTAATGGCAACATATTTGTCTGTGTAGTATCTACTGGTTGTTGATCAATTTGTTGTGTATGGAGCTCTTCATACCCATCGCGAATTAAATTATGCAAACAACATGTAGCAGTTATTAATACATCGCAAGTTTCCGGCTTGATTGCGATAGGTGTGTAATAAACTCTAAATATTTGACTTAAAAGTCCAAATGCGTTTTCAGACACGCGCCTTGATCGAGATAATCTATAATTAAAGATTTGTTTTTCAAAATCTTCCTTGGCTTGCGATCTATTGTAAGGTTTCATAATGTGGGTATGTAACCTGAAAGCTTCATCTCCAACTATGACGTATGGTAAACTTTTGTCAGAACCAGGGAGTTGAGTATTTTCGGGTAATCCAAATTGTTTTGAGTAAATCCGTTTTCCCATTGCAGATTTTGAAAATATTCCGCTATCTCCCTCTTTCCCATATGGCCCTACGTCAATAGCTAAAAATTTAGACTTGGCATCAACAATCGCTAGTAGCACAATTGAAAAATAGTTTTTGTAACTGTAGTAAAGAGATCCTGACTTTTCTGGACATACAACACGGACATGCTTCCCATCTATGGCTCCCACACAGTTCGGAAAATTCCACCTCTCCCAAAATTCTACTGATCGAGCTTTGAAATCAGTTTCGGTTGGTTGTGGTAAAAGTATGGGCATTAAATGTTCACATATACCTAGCTGATAATACTTGTTTCATAATATTCGATATTTCACTATGTGAAATTCGAAAATTATACGCCAATGATCGATATGATTCCCCAGTTTCTAGGTACCTAAACATTTTATTAAAATATTAGAATATTTGGTAACCTATCTACCTACCTGTAGGTGCGGATAATAAATAAAATTGGTCTTAAATACCATCTCCCGAATAAACACCACAGAGCCACAACTGAATTTTTTTTTGTATATTAGTTTCATGCTTTTCTTCATTTTTCTACATTTGAAATATTTTTCAATCTTATATTAATTAGGTAAACCCGCTATCAACTTTTGATTTTCAAATGACAACCTATTCTAAAAGTTTTATAAACTAATACCTAAAGCTATTTTTTTATGAATTATCGCGTTTAAATTTTCATTTTTCGTTATATTCCGCTGACGAAAGTTGAAAATTTTAACGTGAAAATGCATGAACAAAATAGCTTTATTAATGTATGCAATTATTAATATAGGTTGTCATTTGAAAATCAAAATTCGATGTTGGTTTACCTAATAAATATAAGCTTGAAAAATATTAAAAATGTATACAAATGTAGAAAAGCATGGGACTAAAATTATTTTTAAAAAAAATTTGAAAAAAAGTCTATACTTTTTGAAATAATGAGTGTTCAACAACAAAAGAATCATCCTGTATATTATGGAGCTTACCGTCCGGAGTGTGATAACAACGGGAATATTTATGTTCTTTTTAGGTGAAGATTGTAAAAAGAGATGGCGTTCGATTCGGGACCATTTTAAGCGTCTTAAAAGAGAAGGAAAATTAGGAACTGGATCTGCTGCTCGTAAACCAGTTAATTGGCCACTCTTAAAATATGTATCCTTTCTTTCGCAAGTTCCAGAAGAAAGGAGGTAATATAAAATGTGTAGGCTTCAATTATAGTTTCTATAGGTGTTTTTAATGAATAACTCTTTTAACTCTTTGAGGGGCCGTGGTTAGTATGCTAACCACTTTTTTTTTTACCGTTCAGGTGCGGTGGTTATTATTTTAACCACTTTTAAAATTATTTTTATTATTTTTTTGATGATGGTCAGCATACCAATCACCTTATTATCATCTTATATATGCATCAAACAATATCATTGCCGCTGGTCTGATATGATTTCTCGCGTTTTTCATCATTTATTATCATTATCAATATTTTGATATACGTACTAAATGTTATGGAAAAAAACATATTGCCCACATGGGTCTTTTTTCTAAAGGAAATTTTCGCCCCTCAAAGAGTTAATAGGACCCTATCTAATTTATCGGATATTGGACAAAACGAAGAGATCAGTAATGACAGTACATTGGAAGATCAAGATATTGATGTTGAATGTTTTGATACTAGTAATGCATACGTTCAAACTCCACCACCAAGCGATACAGATGCATCTAAGTAAAAAAAAAAAAATGGAAAAAGTATCAGACATTTTAGCTGATAATAGAGAGTCAAGACTGCAATTAATAGAAACATTGAAAGGTGCCGGTCAAAAACAAGAAGATGAAGTAGATGCATTTTATAAAAGTATTTCTCTTTCCGTAAAACGCCTTCCGCCATTACTGAGATCCGAAATCAAGATGCAACATTTACAAAGTTTACATAATATAGAATTGAAATACATGCACAGTCAATCACAATACCTGCAACCATATTTTTGTCCTCAACAAAACATACCAGAGCATTCATTAGTTCATCAGACTCAGACTCAGACATACCGACCAGATCAACAAGAAAACCAAAGTTGTCCATCTCAATCTACATCATCTCAACCCTTTTATGAGAATCTTCCTTATTGACTTAGTGTCATAAAGAAGTGACTGGTTTCTTTTTATTTGATATTTTAAGTTATTATTAAGTTTTATATTTTATTCAAATGTTGAATGTGTGAACTTGTTGTACTTAGTGTACCTACATATCAGTTCACACCATTTACCTATAAGTATTTAAATTCCTAACAGTACTTTTTTTTAAATTTTAGATTCTGAGTGAAACGATGAATGTATTGATTTTACAATGATGTGTGTTTTTTTTATTTTTTTTAGTATCTGTCATTACGTTTTAGGACAGTAAAAGTGCTTGGAATTTCTTCAACAGGAGCTTTTCTGATAGGAAAGTGAATCTAGTTGGTACTTGGGGGGGTCAAAAGTAAAAAATTCACAGTAGTTTTCACAAGCGCCGGGAAAAACAACATAAAAATTAAGGAAAAACGGGAATTTTTACGCAAAATCAGTTTTCCAAAAAATCGATTTTGGTTTTTGGTGTAACTCTAAAACAAATGAACGTATATACATGAAATTTTCACTGGTTGTTTATATTTGCATTTTCTATACACGATAACATTTTCAAAATATTTTGATTTATTTTGAACTGTTTAGGGACATTTTCATTTTCCATTTTGTTTCAGTTTTTTTTCTAAATATATCAATACAATTTTATTTGTTGGTTAAAAAAGCTTGAAAATTTAATTGAAGGCTGATAGTATATTGTTTCAAAGGTATATGAAAAATATTAAAAATCGTTAGTCACAGTTTTTTTTTATAAGCATTTAAAGTTCAAAAATTGACAAAATATGGAAAAATCACGAAAACTAGCAAATTATTTTGAGTTAAGAATTCGTAAAAATTTTTCTTTTTAAATCTAAGATTTGAATATGAAACACAAGATTCCTTATAAGATTATCTACCTTTATCAATAAAAAAATCTCTACCGGACAGTCAAATTAAATTTTTATGAGCGTTTGAAATTCAAATTTTTACAACATTGGATATTCACTCGCTTGTAGCGATTTCCTTATTTTATTGCAATTCAAAAACGAACAACTGTAGATACATGAAAATTTCACTGAAACTTCTAAAGTGTATGATTATGTATCTATGATAGTTTCACGGTTTTTGTTGATGTATAACGCGTTATAAGTACCTAATGGATATTGTGATATAATAATTTATTAATTTGGAATTTATTATAGGTCAAATTTTGGTTTAGTACCATAGATATGTATATACTATGTCTTATACCTAGACTGACATACCATCTCCACTCAGAATCGTTTTTCTTATACAATGATATTATATCGTTGAATTCAAATTTAATATCATCCATTATACAGTGACCCACTTGTAACCTATTGTACAGCAGAGCGACACCCACTTGCCCACCTTTTTTATCCTGATATTATAATATACTATATTGTTTGATTAAATTCCTTATTGACTTAGTGCCATAAAGAAGTGACTGATTTCTTTTTATTTGATATTTTAAGTTATTATTAAGTTTAATATTTTATTCAAATGTTGAATGTGTGAACTTGTTGTATTTAGTGTACATATCAGTTCACACCATTTACCTATAAGTATTTAAATTCCTAACAGTACTTTTTTTAAAATTTTTTTATCTTGACATTATAATATACTATATTGTTTGATTAAATTCCTTATTTAACTTAAAACATTTTAGTTTGTTTTCACTTTTTAAATTTAATAAACCCTGAGCGAATTGAACTGCAACGTGGGATTTATTTTAATTTTCATGTAACTCTGTTTTTGGGTAAATATACGTTTATATTTTGAAAAATAATTAATACTTAAATAAATGGTACTTTAAAGTTACTGCAAATTTTTCCTTTGGTGTTATAGGAAACTTCACAGTAGTTGTTGGCGCTTTAAAAATATATTGTGCGATGGCAGATAAAACATAATCAAATTGACATTTTGTCAACCTAAAATAGTTTTGAAATTTACATTCATCATCGATGAGGTGTTTCATAACCAAATTTTCAAATGTTCCTTTATTACGCCTTTCTGTAAACATATTGTGTATTTTTTTCCTCTTATTTTTTTTTCGTGAACAGCAGATCTATGATTTGTTCATCTCGTTCTTCTTCTTCAAGAATAGAACAATCCTGGTAACGTCATCCATGGTTGAAAGTTGGTGATTAACTGCTTAGGAAATAAATTTTTAGTTTACTGCATGTAGTATTTCAGTCAACTGCATAAACAAAACCAGTGCTGCTACATGCGAGGACGCAACAGCGACGGCATGCGGTCACTGCTGCAGTCAACTGCAGAAACGAAACCGTACCTTTAATCAAAGAAGCTATTCGAAACTCGATGGTGACGGTACACTGCAGTTCATTTATCTTTAATTTTATTTATTGTAAACTAGCTGCCCCGCCCCACGCGTTGTCCAGGCCAAAGATTTGTATTTTTAATAAATATATTTGTACAAAATGTATATACCATATTTCTTTTAATTATAATATTAATATAGTACACCGAAAAAAAAAACCATGTTCATGATGATAAAATTATATGTGTGTTTGACAATAATCTTGTAGATATAGGTCCAACAATTTTTTTTGTCAAATTGATTATCATTGATATTGTAAAATTTTAATAACAAATTAATTATCAAATCAACAAAACAATTGTCAATACAACAAAAACATACTATTTATAATTAATGACAATTTTATAGTGACAACAACTGATTTGTCAAATTAATTATATTATTTTATTATTTAAAACAAATATTACTATACATTTTAAAGTAGGCACTCTCACCACTACAAACATTTTTTGTCAATTTAATACAGAATAATTTATTGAGTTGACAAAATTAAACTATCAAATCAATTGTCTTTATTATATTTTAACGACACACTTTGGATGTTTCAACAACCCTCATCCCTTTCCATGATCAAATCTCATGTAGTCCATCATCTGCTTCATCACCATTCCCCAACTATATATTGTGGTCATCCACCAATATAATATGTGAGTGTGTATTGTTTAATTATATATCATACTGCACATATAATTTAGAACAGCTATTTTTGAGTCATTCTCTATTTTGTCCATCCATTTTATAATCAATTTTTATCTCCCTATGTTTCCTTCAATAACAATTTTCATATTCCTTCCACTACACTCCACTACCACTGTCACTCTTATCATAACATGACCAAATCATCTCAACATTTTCATCTCTGTAAGAAATAAACATATTAATTTTAAATAAATATTAACACCAAATTTGTAATTTTTTTCAATATCTATATTTATAAAAAAGAAAAAAGAAAAGTTAACTAGGTATTATTAACTATTTCTTAGTTAGATCTAACAAAATTTGTCCTAGCATGGGATGACTTTTGTCAAATTTAGTGTTTAAACAATAAAAATATTTCTGAATAAAGAGCCAATCAATACTGCCTCTGGTGGATATTCAAGATTAAAAAGATGAAAAATCTTATAACAAATATCAATTGCTGATATAATAGAAAAAAATTTATATTTTATACAATCAAAAAAAACTAGAATTTCCTTTGGTTTCATAGGAGAACCAATAATGAAAATAAACGGTTCCCTTCAACTGAGCGTTTATCATTAGTAGTATAAAAAGGGGGCTTCTGAAACCTACTCCCTACTCACTACTCCCCTCATCCTTATCACTCATCATACCGCGCGCCGCCGCCGCCGCCCGATCCTGACACCTCATCCTCATCACTCATCACACCGCTCGCGTCGAGCGTTAGTTATATTATTGTTATCACTGTTATCATATTTTTATCACTGTTATCATATTATTTCCGTTATCACACCGCCGCCGCCGCCCGGGGAAAATAAGCTAAAAATTTTTTTCCGGACAGGGATTCGAACCCGAGTCCGTCGGTTCGGCCAGCGATCACCGTACCACTGCGCCACCCCGACACATATACTTTATATTAAGAACTTGCCATATTTAACGAATACATAAAACTGCAAAAGAAACATTTAATAATAGTTTGCAGCTGCGCGTATTGTCATTAGTAAATCCGTTCGCACGCTCGCCGAACAATCAATAAATGACCTATAGTATATCGAATAGAAGATACCAATTAATGAAAAATACATTAACCCTAATAGCCTAATTATTGTCATTGCCAGGAGCTGCGCGTATTGTCATTAGTAAATCCGTTCGCACGCTCGCCGAACAATCAATAAATGACCTATAGTATATCGAATAGAAGATACCAATTAATGAAAAATACATTAACCCTAATAGCCTAATTATTGTCATAGCCACCTTAATAATAGATTACAGCTGCGCGCATTGTCATTAGTAAATCCGTTCGCACGCTCGCCGAACAATCAATAAATGACCTATAGTATATCGAATAGAAGATACCAATTAATGAAAAATACATTAACCCTAATAGCCTACTTATTGTCATAGCCAGGATGTCTTAATAGCCACCTCTAATAATAATACAAGTATTTGTCATATCGAAGAAGGAACAATTCACACGGCTATTATACTATGCTGAAACAACTGGCACTTCTCTTTAGTCCGTCTACTGCGTTAAACCAGTGTACACGTACCTACACGCGCTGACTTTAAAGAATTTACAGTGTTTTAAAATTTTTAAAGTGTTTATTCTAAGTGTTTATTATATCAAGTGTATATACTTAATATTTTTCCTTTATTTTATTTATACTTTATAAATTTAATAATGTTTAAATGCGATCAATGTGTATCAACCTTTACACGAAAAGACAATTTGACTGCCCACCAAAAGAAGCACGATGGTGTACGGTTTCCGTGTACTATATGTAGTAAATCATTCGATAAAAAATCAAATCTCAATAGACATATCAAAAATGTTCATAGTATGTATATTGTATATATATTATTATATTAAAATAAAATAAATTATTGTATAACAAAAATATCTTTAATAATTAGATATAACTCGCAATCATCCACCTCGCAAATATACTATAAAGTCAACTCCGCAAACCAAAGTATCAAACACACA